ATCCAACAATATCACTGTTGGGCATATACACAAAGGATACTTTATCCTACTACAGAGACACTTGCTCAACCATGTTCATTGCTGCTGCTGCTCTATTCATAATAACCAGAAATTGGTAACTACCCAGATGGCAGAGGCAGGTGGATCTCTGTGAGTTCGAGACCAGCCTTGTCTACAAGGTTATGGATGCCAATAAGAAATGAACTCAGCAGCAAGTTTGGAGGTTCTTTGTCTCAAAATGTTAAGTGGGGACATTTTTTTCTACCTCATAGGTCCTTTGCTTACATATTGTATCTTCCAGTTTGGTGTTTTTATGGGATTCTTGGGTGCTTTTATGTGTATATGTGTTTCTTGTGCTTTTTCTTTGACTCTTTCTCTTGTTTGGTTGTTCTGTCCTATTCCGAGTTTTTTGCTTTATCTTATTGCATTTTATTTTGTCACTATCTTACTAGTCTCTACTTATCTCTTTCAGAACAAGCCTTGGCTCCAACACTAAATTTCCTGGTGTTCTTTTTTTCTCTTTAAACTGTACATTTTGTACATCTTTTTGCCCTGCTTGCTCTTTTTCAATGTAGACCTGCATAACAGTGATCACTACTAAACATTTGACTAATCAGAGTCAATAGTAGGCTGTCTGGAAATCTTCTCTGCCAGAAAACTTAAGTTATTATTTTTTTCAATTTGGCCTCAGGCAGATTCTTAGGACAAGGGCAGAAAACAGCCACATTCTTTACCAAAATCTCACAATAGTCCCCAGCCACGTTGCTAATACAGTTCCTCTCTGAAATCTCTTGAGATGGACCTCCACCATCTGCACAGCTCCCAACACTGCTGTGTCATAACTTAGCTCAGAGAGATCTTCCTCATCCATCTTTTCTACAGGATATCATACTGGTCCCTGATACTAAAGACTCCATGCTGAATGGACCAAGTGAGCAGGGAGTGACAACCACTTTGGACTTGTTGAAAAGGCATACATGTACATCAGAGGATGGAGAATATCCAACCAAATTTCAAGAAGCCTGCACCTCAATGAGATTTCCAGGAGTCCAGTGGTATGGGGCATGTGGAGATAATCCTTTTCCAAGGTGAAAGATTAAGTTATTGTACCTGGCCCCACCCACCACCAAGAAAGAAGCACAATGGGTACTGAGCCTATTTAGATGCTGGAGACAGCACATTCATCGCTGGGGTGTGTCACTCCAGCCCAGATACCAAGTGACTCTAGCTTTGAAAACTGCTGGCTTTGAGTGGGACCGGGAAGAAGGAGAAGGATCTCCAACAGGTCCAGGCTGCTGTGCAGGCTGCTCTGCTACTTGGACCATATGATGCAGCAGACCCAATGGTATTTAAAGTGTCAGTGGCATATAGGGAGGCTGTTTGTAGCCTTTGGAAGGCCCCTATAGGTGAAATACAGAAGAGCCCCTTGGGATTTTGTAGAAAGGCTCTGTGGTAATCTGCAGACAACTCTTATCCCTTTGAAAGACTGCTCTTGGTCGGCTATCCGGCCTTAATGGAAACTGAATATTTGACAGTGGTTCACCAAATCACCACAACCTGAGCTGTCCATCATGAGTTGGGTGTTATCTGACCCATGAAGCCTTAAAGTAAGATGTTCATAGCAGCAGAGTCAGTGAATCTCTGAGATTTTGAGGCCAGCCTGATCTACAAAGTGAGTTCCAAGACAGCCAGGGCTATGTAGACAGACCTAACATCACAATAAAAAAAGAAGGAAGGGAGGGAAGGAGGAAGAGAGGGAGGGAGGGAGGGAGGGAGGGAGGGAGGGAGGGAGGGAGGGAGGGAGGGAGGGAGGGAGGAAACTAGGGTATGGGGCCCTCAGAGTGGAACACCCAGGTGTGGCATACTATTTCCTGATATGTAAAATGAGACCATCACATTCAGAGCAGCCTACACAGGTCACAACCAGATGAAATATAAGAAATTGAGGACATGAGGTTTGCATTCCATACCAGGAAAGGATTTCTTCTCTTCCAGGACTGTCCAGAGATTGAAACTAGACCTCAGGGGAGAAGTTTCTGCAGGAATATTCAAGGTATATCTATTGGTAATGTGTGAAAAATATTTTGTCAAATAATTCAATGAAGAGATGCATGGGTATGGAATGAAGAGGGTTGAAGTCAGTAAACTTTAGGCCATACCTTGTGCAAATATGTGAAGAAAGAAGGAATTGAGTGCATTTGGACACTGGCTCTTCAGTGATGGGGAAGGGACAAAGAAGAGGGTTTTCCCAGAAGGGCAGTATCTTGAGGAGCACAAAGGATTCTTCTGGCATTGATTTTGTGTCATTAAGATCTGAGTTCTAATTGTCCCTCGCTCTGGTATCAATCTGCCTGCATGACTTTTGGCTACCCATTCTTACCCTCATAAATAAAAGGGAAAGGTTGGGCTCCCTGAGGCCATTCCTATCAAGCATTTAATGATGTTATTAACTCAAGGGTCACTCCAACTTAGGTAGCAATGATCTTATTGGTTCAAAAAAACAAGGATTTTAATGACAAGCAATCATCTGATTAGGCCAAAATAAAACAGATTTGGGGCCTTGAGAAATAGCTCAGAGGTTAGGAGCACTGACTTCTTCCAGAGGACTCAGGTTCAATTCCCAGCACCCACCTGGCAGCTCACTATAACTTGGCCCCTTCTTCTGGATTTTTAAGACACTATACACATGTAGTACATAGATATACATGCAAGCAACACACCTATATACATAAAATAATAAATTAATAATAGTAACAATTTTTAAGAGAGAAGAAAATAGATCTTATACTTCAGATTTTATGGATTCTCTGCCACATAATACTTTTATTTTGCCTTATCCTAATATGTTTACCATCCTCTAAAAGTATAAAAACTACTAATTTACAAGCCATACAAAAGTGGACTATGAGTCAAGACTTGGCCATTGGGCCACAGTTTTCAACAACCCTGGTTTGTGTTGGTAGCAACCCAACAAGAATAAGGTCAGTGACTCAACTTAAATGGATATAAAACCCCCTAAAGAAGCAACAAGAAATAGTAAAGAAAAGGGAAATGAATACCAAACAAGTAAAAGAACAAAGCTCAAAGTTAACCAATGAAGAAGTAAAATTGAAAGAATATAGAACCCAATAAGTAATGTTGGCATGGATGAGGAACGAAGGGACATTAGCTGCCAGTGACTTCCTAGGCCGAGGAGCACAATGGGCTGGAGTGAGTCTCTGTACAGCCCAGAAATCATTCAGAAGCCAGAATGCCCATCCCTTAAGCAAGATACCTTCACGCTTTCACGGAAAAGTAGCGTGTTCAATGAAAAAGGTCCAGAGACACTGGCTGATGGAGAAGATTAAACAGATGAATACTAACAGGCTCATTAAGCAGCATTAACAGGACTGATTCACAGATACTTCAAAAGTGCAAACACCATAAAAACGTAAACACTCACAGGGCTGGGGTGGGGGCTAACATGAGTCTGATTAAGAGCACCAGGATGTTCAGTGTGTGCCTGGAAAGGGGCCATCTGGTGTGACTGGCACATGGTGGAGTCACACCTTTGCTCCAACATCCACCAATCTGAGCTGGAGGGGAAGGCACAGAGAAAGCACCATACTTGAGGGCCTGGTGTCGAGGCAAGGATTAAGACACTTGAGTTCCCGGAACAGTCCCAGGGATTGCAAAATCTTAGGCAATTCACAGCCACCTATGACTTCAAGTTTCTCCTTTGTAAAATTGTAATTGCTGTTCCTGTCCTCCCTGTCCTGTGGCCTTTTGTGTGAAGGTGCTTTATCCAGCTTACTATTTGTGCCCATTTTACTTGAAAATACAACAATTATCCAGGGCATGGACCACATACCATGTAAGGTTAATGACAGCATAAGAAAAGATTCCTAGACTCATAAAGACCTTTCAGATCCACAGTACAATATTTGGGGGAGGGGGTCATAAGAGCATGCCTATGTTATACGTTTAGCTCAACTGCAGGAGAGCAAGTACTAGAGGTGAGTGGTCCAGACACTTGCCACTGTTAAGAAGCTGGGTATATTGATGAAGAGAGTAGGCCACACTAACACCACACGAGTGACACTTGAGTCTGCTACATGTGGTTTCTACAAACCCTCCCTGGGGAGCAGAAAGGGGATGGGATAGTGGGTCAGTGGGGGGCAGGGGCAGAGGGGAGGGAGAGGGAACTGGGATTGACATGTAAAAGAAGCTTGTTTCTAATGCCCACCATCCTTTCCTAACTCAAGAGCCCAACAACACCCGCTGCCACATCGGCTTCCACCTCAATTCAGCCTTTATAGGTGGCTGAAATGCTCACACACTCTGTCTAGCTGTTAGGTGTGCCAGCATCTTAAATGAACTTTCCAAGTTCCAGGCTTTGAAGAACAAGTTTCTCTGGTTTGGTATGTCCCCAGAGTCCCAAGAGGAGACACATGTACTTCCTCTCCCCAGGACCAGGCCACTCTCTGCTCACCGGCTCCCTTCTTCATCGCTAACCCCAGATGCCCTCTAGAATCCCACCATTCAAGGCTAACCCTTCCTTCCCCAGGAGGGGGCGTTGATTAGCCATAGGCCGCCTGGTGCACCTGAGATCTGCAGAGGCTACAACTTTCTGCCTCTAAATTATTTTTTCCCCATAAGGAACCGGATAATTGGGAGGTAGGACCGTAGCCACCTGCATTGGGCCCCTCCCTGCAGCTCCAAGCTATCCCTTTCCTGTCCCCAACATTCCATCCTAGTCTCTGTGATCCTCCGACTTCCCCCTCAGCTCAGGATCTTGCCCTGGCCTTCCTGACAGGCTCGCCTTGGCACCCTTCGCCTTCCTACACACAGGCTTCCTGTGCTCTGACCTCCTCCCCAGCATTCCCAGGACATTCCCACTCCCCTCTATAGCTGTAAGCCCATCTTGCCCCTTTGTGGTTCAGCGAAACCATGGCATCTGTGTGCACCCGCTCATGCCACATAGTAGCCCTGGTCTTTTCAGTCCCAGAATCCGCACATACCCACAGCCCGACAGCCATCACCACCACGAAGTAGATGACAATGACTGAGATGTCAGCAGCATTGCGAATGCGTTCATAAGACGGGATGGGTGAATCTGTGGCCGTGACCGCGGGGCTCAAGGTGCTACTGTCCATGGCGGTGGCGACGAATCCCTCTGGCTCACCGGCTCACTGGGGCCACTCACTCCTTATAATGCTTTTGAGTTAATGATCAGCCCCAAGGGAGGGGACCTGTGACAGAGGGGCTGTGCGCTGCTGCTGCTGCAGCGCTGCACTGCACCGTCGGGAAGCAGCTCTTGATGTGCCCCGTTGAAAGAGGAGCCAGGAAAGCTGCAAGAGAGACTGAAATGCGAGCGGGCGCCTGCCCACAGGTAAAGGCTGTTGAGTGAGCAGGGAGGGGCCTGCTAAGGGGCGGTGCCCTTCTGGCACAAAAGTTCTCTGTGCTCCCGCAGTGGGCACCTCGCACAGTTGCCACACCTGGACTGCCTGGTTCTACGTGGGGCAAGAAAGGAGTAGCTGCACAGAGGAACCGAAGCACCTGGAGCCAGGAGTCTACAGGCTGTGACTCACCCGTGGCAGGTGCACCCCTGGCACTTCTGTGAGCGAGACTTTTCCGTGTGAAAAATGAGTGCAGGACTTTTCAGAGAACTAAGCCAAGTTTTGGTTTACTGGAGAACATTCCCAGGAAGATGAGATTGCTGGGGAAGACTCAATACAAATCTTGGCCACCAGTATCACACTCATTCCTGACTTCTCCACAGCCTGCAATCCCCAAATATTGCAATCCCCAATAGAAGGAAGGGAGGAAGGAGGAGGGGAGGAAGGAGGGAGGGAGGAAGGGAAGGAAGGAAGGAAGGAAGGAAGGAGGAGAAGAAGAAGAAGAAGAAGAAGAAGAAGAAGAAGAAGAAGAAGAAGAAGAAGAAGAAGAAGAAGAAGAGCAGAAGACTGAGGGAAGGGGTCCCACTAGAGTCATTTCCTTGTCCTGTGTCTTCACCTAAATGATTCAATCCACCATAGATGGAAATAGTTTTGTACTAAACTTGTACAGGCTAGTTTTCTTGTGGTTACCTAAACAATATTGTATAACAACTGTTCATAGTTTGCACAAGGTAGTCGGTGTTAACAAGTAATCCAGAGACAATTGAAAGCACATGAGAAGATATACGTGGGTTGTATGCATGTATATATAATTGTGCCATTGTATGTAACAGACTTGAATTTCAATGCTAAAGGCATTCTGGAATCAGGCCCTCTTGGATAGCAAAGGACAATTTGCAATGTACTTTTAAACCCTTTTAAAGTATGAGAGATGTCTGGGTGTGGTGGCACATCTCTGTGATCCCAGCACTCAGGAGACAGAGATGAAGGGATTGTGACTGTAGGCTAGGCTGCATACATGATAAGATCCTGAATCAAGAGTAAAGTGCATAGACTAGAAGGTGCCAGAGAATCTCTCCCAAGGAGTTCACCAAACCCTGGGCATTGGAATAGGTATCTGAGCCACAAGCCCAGAAAGAATGATTCACCCAAAGTCACACTGTGAGCCACAGCAGCACTGGACCTGCAGCCCAGGCCAGCCCAGAGCATCCTTCAGAGGGTGGACTTCTAGAAAGCAAGCCCCAGGCTAGCCTTGGAGAAGCATGGGGTAGCATACCTGCGACATCCTAGCTGACTGTCCTCAGAGCTTCTCAGAACACAACCTCGGCCTCTTGGCATGTGCCCCAGCCCTGAGTGTCAGTCAACGTGGACTCTAGAGGAGGGAGTGAGAATGGGGGAACAAGAGACTCGAGAAACAGAGACAAGACAGGATTCTGATCAAGTCTCATTTATTGAAAGTACCAACAGGGCTTAAGTAGGGCAGGTAGCAGAAAGGCAGGGAAGCAGAAGTTCTCCTTGGCAGGATACGTTCCAAGGACACAAGTCTGCAGCTGGGGGAGTCTGGACTGCAAGCCTTGAAAATGTGCTGTACAGGAAGATAAGCAGACACAGAGACACAGAAACTTAACTAAGTGTTAGTCTCTAGGAATACAGTAGGAATATTAAGATGGCTTTTATTATGCTATCCTTATTCAGGGCCCTCCACAGGTCCCCATTTTTTGTATAAAGTGAAAAGGTCATAAGCTGGGATATCCTTGAGGGGGCCATGCATGTCTTAGTAAGTCAGAAGATCTTGTGGATCAGGAGTGTGCAATAGCCCTACGCATAAATGGAGATGACATCTCATGATGAGCATTCCTGTCTTAGGAGGCTATCGGGATGGGACACCTTCTGTCCTTCCTCTGTTGCCCGTCGTTGGCTAACCAGCCCAGCTCACCATGGAGGAAATGAATCAAAAGTGATCTTATAGCTACATACTTTAAGTAGTATATGATTAAAGTTCATAACAATTGTTTCCCATTTCAGCCATGTCAAGACAGTGATAATGCGCCTGTATAGGCTGCATCTTGATAGCATCCATTTGACTCTTAACGAAAGCCATCAGTTTATTAAAGAGAAAAGGTCCTAGAGATAGGAGAATTAATAAGCCAAGCAGGGGACCTAACAAGGGAAGAAGATAGGGCAGAAGTCCACTCCAGGCACTCCAAACTGCTGGTCAAACAGTTCTCTACGGCGTTTCTCAAGTTCTTCTTCTGAAAGGGGGTCCAATAGGAGGGCAACCCCAAGTATGACATGGATCTTCATTTCTGGAAAACAGAAAGGAATAAAATTTTCAGGAGGGAGCCAGGCGGTGGTGGCGCACGCCTTTAATCCCAGCACTCGGGAGGCAGAGGCAGGTGGATCTCTGTGAGTTCGAGGCCGGGCTGGACCGATAGCCTCCAAAACAATACAGAGAAACCCTGTCTCATAAAAAAAAATTCTCAGGAGGGGCAATTTCTCCTGGAAGAACTTATGTTATCCGGAAGCCATCTGGCAGATTTCATTACTTTGGAGAATATGCATACTTATCCTCATCCCCATATTAGGGCTGAATCAGGTCCATGCCAAGTGCTATCTAAGGGGTCTTTCCACATGACAAATGTATTTTGTGTATCAGAGTGCCAAAAACGTGTGGCAGCAGATTTTACATCATTATCCAAATTTTAAAAATTAACAATGAAAAGAGCATGTGTCAGAATATTCCTTGGCATGCCTTTGGTGGGGTACCAAGTTCCCCCTTTTAATTTATTAATAGTTAGCTTAAGTATAAGGTTAGCTCTTTCCACTATACCTTGTCCTTGAGGATTATATGGAATTCCAGTGACATGGTTAATAGCTAATTGTTTGCAGAAGGTCTTAAAATTGGCACTGGTCTATCCAGGTCTGTTATCAGTCTTGATTTGTTGAAGAGTGCCCATGACAGAAAATGCAGCTAACAAATGACTGATTACATATTTAGTGGTTTCTCCGGTTTGAAGAGAGGCAAAGATAAAACCACTATATGTATCTATATTAACATGAATATATTTAAGATGTCCAAATTCTGTAAGATGGGTAACGTCCATTTGCCAGAGAGCATTGGGCACAAGTCCCCGAGGATTAACTTCCAAATATGATACAGGTAAATATTGGAGGCATTCTGAATAGTTTTTCACTTTATGTCTAGCTTATTTTCTGGTAACATGATAGATGAGGCATAAAGTATGGCATTAAGGTGATGTAATGAATGTCCTTTACGTGCTGCTTCAATGCCTGTGTCCTGGACAGAATCAACAGGCAGCCCCAGATGACAACGGGTTGCTTGGTCCGTCAAATGATTGCCTCTGGATAAGGATCCGGGGAGACCTGAATGAGCATGAAGGTGCCCCATAAAGAAAGGAAACTTTCTGACTCTTATGAGAGAAGTTAGTTGTCTAAATAAATTGCCAGTCTCCGAGATATTCTTAATTTGACCTATAGTCTCTAAAAGTGATACTGAATGAGCAGCATAGGCGCTGTCAGTATAAATGTTAAGTGATTGATTTGGAAAGGCAGTAAAGGCAGCCATAACAGCATGTAATTCTGTTAGTTGGGCAGATGAGGTCCCAGTTTGAAAATAGTAACCTCATCATTCCAGGCACAAGCCGCTATCCCCGTGGAGGAGCCATCAGTAAACACAGTTAATGTGACTGGCATAGGATCTAGGAGAATATTTTTTTAGAAAAATAAATTCTTAAAGATTGGCAAACTCAATTAGCTTATTAAGGGATAGTGGTTATCTATGTTTCCTATGTAATTGGCCAAGGCTATGGGCCAGCTTTCTGTTGTTTGCATAAGCCAATTAAACTGTTCCTTGGTATAAGGTTGAATATGAGGTTTGGCTCATGGCCAAAATAAGACTTGGCCTGCTTTCTGCCTACTAGAATAATATCTGAGACCAGTTGAAAATAGGGAGTTAGCACCCTTTTGGTGCTGACTGGTAAATGGACCCATAATATGGGGGCAGTTTGCCAAAAAAACCTGCAGTTGGAGACTGAGCTGTTTTGCAAATAATGAACCACAAGGGGCGACTGTAATCAAGAAAAGAAACGGAGACTGTATGGCTTGTTCCACCAGAGTTATTGTCTTGTGGCCTTCAGGTGAAGGTTGATGAGGTGAGGTGGAATCTGAATTACCAGAGAGAATGTCATAAAGGGGTTTTAATTCATCTTTGCGAATTTTTAAATAAGGTAGTAGCCAATTAATATCTCCCAATAATCTTTGAAAATCATTAAGGGTATGAAGCCTATCTATCCTCAAAGTAATTTTTGAGATAAAATTTTATCTTCAAACATTTGAAAACCTAAATAAGTATAGGGCTCTTTGAGTTGTACTTTTTCTGGCGCTATCTGTAATCCCCCTTTTGTTAGAGCATCGCATAACTCTTTATAACAGGATAACACCTCTTCCCCTTTTTATCCTGCTAAAAGGATATCATCCATATAGAGTACAATATACATCTGTGGCCATAAGTCCCTAACTGCTTGGATGGCGGATGCTACAAAAGATTGGCAAAGTGTGGGACTATTAGCCACACCGTGGGGGAGAACATGCCAGTGATACAGGTGCATGGGTGCTTGAAAATTTGGAGAAGGAAGACTAAAAGCAAAGTAAAAAAGCAATCTTTGAGTTTTGTGGGCAGTTTTTTGAAAAATGGTCGGATTCACCGCAGCTAAAACATTTGTTTCTGCCCTGATTAGACAAGAACTGTCTAACAGCAGTGCCTTGCATACCAGCTGCCATGGCGAGTCCTTGCTGATAAGCTGCACCCATCTCAGCACAAAGGCAAATGTAGCCAGAAAGGTCTGTTTTGTTTTTTGTTTTTTGGTTTTTATGATATGGTCATGGTCAAATAGCTGCTTGGCAGGCCGAATTAGCATTTTCAAAAGCCAATTGTTTAACAAAGTC